TTCATTCATTTGAACTATTTAAGCTCATATTAGAGTTGTAATATTCTTCTCTTCTGTTCTTAAAAAACTGTGTAAACAAAGTTTGGGAAAGTTCAAGCAGAGTTCAAGAGTGACACCAGACCTGAGGGGAGCATTGTCTTTGCTCGGAGTTAAGGCAGTGCAGGAAAGGATGTTTTCAGAGCAAGCCAGAGGTTGTTGCAAATTAGTAGACAAACTGAACTCTTCGTGATTTACTAGAAATGTGATGTCTCGAGAAGGTGTGCCAGTGGCTCATCTGGCCTGTTCGGCTTTGATCAGTGACCGGCTGTCCTCTCAAATAAAGCCGATCCTGTGCTGATCTCAGATTTATGCACAAGAGTGGCATGTTTTATGCCATAGGCACAGCAACAGCTATATATGTTTAAGCGCACATGTCAGCAGTGGAGATATGAGGTGCCTACCAGCAGCAGGAGGAAAACAGAGGTAGTTTCCCTGCATAATAATAACTTATTCACAGGAGACAGTTGTCACTCTGTGAGGGCTTCGACTTCAGAGTGAGGGACTCAGCTGTAAGGCTGCAAAATATCCTTAAAAAATAGTATTGAGATATTTTTCCTTGGAGTATAAATTTAAATTGTGTTATGAAATTAAGAATGTACTTTTTGTTATTTAGACCTTTAACTTTATTTTCTGCTTTTGCCGCACTGCCCTGCCCTCTCATAGCAGCTTTGACACCTGTAGAGAGACAGGAAGTGGAGAAAAAACAGATAAAGCTACTTCTTACCTCATACATTTAATTGATGGACAGAGGTTACTTAAGTGCAATCAGTAATTTTTAGCAATGTCTGTGTCACCGGCCCTGTGATCGTAAACTGTGATGAAACAGAAACTCGCTGTTGTAGTCTGCTTGTGGATTTCACAACACTGGACTGTACTCGCTCTACAGGTGTTGATGTTAAAAGTGAACATCCTGGACAAGCAGGGATACTCTGTCTTTGTGGGTTATTTGTAATGGTGGCAGTGTTGGTTACATTTTCAGCCGTATGACACACTAATATAGATTCTGCACAGTAGTTAGCTCTTAATGTTTATGTAGGGGGCTGCACCTAAGTGATTTTGTTAAGGTAAAGTAGTAACTGGTGATGGCATGATGCGTTACAATTCCTATGATGTGACTATTTCAATAGCCATGCACCTTGTTATTACAATGATCAATTAATCGGCTATATTAGTCAGCCCTAGAATGGTACTTTGAAATATGATTCAATTATTTAACCAAAGGTGATCTCTAATTTCTTCAGGAGTCATGGAGAAAGAGTGGAAGTGAGTGAGGCAGTAAACTCAAGATAAGAGTGTCACCGCAATCGAGATCTAGTTTCCAGAATGAACTTACATCATAAAGGACTATTAGTTTAATCAATTATTTATACTGAACCGTTAACTGTGATTTATCTTATCTTGGTAAATATTAGTTCATTAAGTCATGACCTTATTTATACCTGTAGCCATAAATGATATCCTTTCCTCAAATGCTCTGCTTCTAATAGTTGTCGAACCTGAACTTTGCTTTGGATTAGGGCCAATAAGGAAACATTGAGGTCATCATATGAAAGGTGATGGCAAAGATTGACAGTGTAGGGTGAATACAAAGACAGATTGAGCAACTCAGCTTAAGGACAGATCAAAAATACGGTCTACAAGCCTACATGAGATAATGACCTAGCTGCAGGTCAATAGTGTGAGCAGACATTTAGTCATTTTCCCTGCTTGAGTTTACAGAGACAGTTTTTAAGTGTAGACGCATTCAATTGAATTCTTGTCAAATGAGCCTTTTGTTGTGAAACTGGAAAAATCAGATGAACAAAAGCAGTAAAAATGTAAGTATTAGTGCGATCACCTGTGCAGACAGACTGAGGATCATGTATCCCAGGCGAGATGTGATTCGTGACATTTTAACCACTCTGGATTGTGACTCAGCCAGTCCATGTCTAAAAATGTGTGCCTGTCCTGCAGTGCAATCACAACATGGTGTCAGTCACATGATGTTGTCAGACGAAAGGTGTCACGCCTAATCTGATAAGCCTACTTTATTTATTTATATATTTCTTGTGCGTGAAGAAAGCATGTTGAAGAAATGTTTTCTGACTCTACATGTGGAGTAATATTCTGATTTTTTTAAGTGAAGTTAAAAATAGTTTAAAAACAGTGTGATATTTTCTGCTAAAATAATACTTACAGCGGAATCTTTCAAAATCATATCACTGAACTGAGGTCAGCATGTGCCAATTTTTACCCCAGACTAAAATATAGCTGAACAGAAGTGAGGCTGGCAGTTTTTCAAGTGGACGGCTGTAATGTAATAAAATCTCCGGGAGCAGAAAGGCAGAGCTGTATTTACTCTGTGTTGTCAGCAATGCCTCAATCGAAAACATGCGTTGGCTTCATTCTCAATGCCATCAAAGTGACGTTGAATGATGTGGACATCGGGATGTGTGCTGCTGTTTTTGCATGCTGACACGGTGATATGGAAGAGGTGCTAGAGGGTTAATTTGAAAGTGTTATCACCAAAAATAGATGCATGAATAATGGCGAAGAGAAACATGGTTCATCTATGCAAACAAATGCATATGAAGGGACATTCAGCAGTGGATTGGTGTGAAATAAAAAGGCGGGTCAGGGTGTGTGATGTCTTCGGTAAAGGTGGGCTGTATAGGTGGAGGAATGTACAGTTTCCCCTCCACCCCTTTTAGCTCTCATTGTTTCAACATCACCATCCACGGAGGATTCCTCAAATACCAGGATGGAAATGTCGTCCAACCTGTTCTGGCTGAAACTCACTGAGCTTCTGGAGACTGTCACAAGAGGGAACTTTCATTGTTTGTGTGAAGTAGGGCAGTGTTATTTGTGCTGGCTTTGTAACAAAAGGTTCGAGGTTCACTCTTTGAGGTTATTTTTTTGAAGGTGTTCGGATGAATCACTATGCATCGCATAAGCTCTTTGTTGTTTCTTTGTACTTTCTAGTGCAGGAGAAGAAAAAATTTGCATTAGCTTGGCTTTAGTTTTCTTTGGTAGAAATTCAGCTGATACATCCTGATATCCACCTTTGTCTAGATACACTTGACGCTGCTCTCAGTGTTATAATTACCTAGACAGAGCGTCCACTAGCTCACTCAGCACAAACATATTCATCCATCAAACCTCTCAGAGTAGTCTGTGTTCAGCCCTTTGCTCATATCTGCATGCTGCACATGTGCTGCACATTTCTTTTGCTTGCTCTCACATTATTGTCAAATTTCAAAGAATGATTTGCACCTTCAGTGGTTTGTGACATCGTCCTCAGCTGCTACTTGCATGTTAGAAAGAGGGCATGACGGCACTATTTTGTAGCTAAGTTTGGAGAGGAATGACATATCCTGGACAGGATCAAAATTGCAAAGAAATGTATAAATCAGGAAGTTCAGCAGAATGTTTATTAATTGAATTTTTTTTGGATATCATTATTATAAATTTCAAGATTAGTTTATTTTTTGGTTTTGTCTAGATTTCAGAATTTATCACCTGAATAGTTGACCCATTAGACTCACTTTATCAAAGAGGATTTCAGCTGGTGTTCAGCCTACTAATTTAAACAGATCTTAAGACAAAGTTTAAGATAACTTTCCAGTCATTATTTGTGCAGTTTGAATTCGCTAAACTTGGATTTGACCTGTTTTGTGCTCTACTTGTTTTTGTCCTCTGCCAACCACATTCCAGCTGGTTGGATCAGACAGGCCTCACTTTTTTTGGTAGCCTGTAAATCTTTTTATCAGCTAAAAAATACAGGTCAATCAATTATGTAAATACAGAGGTCTGCTTTCCAGTTGAAGTGAGTATTAAAAGCTTGGGAAGAGTTTGGTAAGCAGTTCTCAATATTCAGAGGTGGGAGAGGCTTGTCTGTAAAGTCAATAAGTTTTCTACAGTGGGTGTTAGAAGTTGAGCCCTTTTTTGGAAAACAAGACTGGAATTACAAAAGTTAATCTGCACCTAATATGTCAAAGTTTTTTTCCCCCCTGTACTGAAATTCATGAGTTGCTTCAAAAGGAAACAAACTAATATGAAGTAATACCTGCAAAGTCTGCTCTAGGTCAGGGTGATCCTTGTCTAATTTCTATCAGCTGTTTGCTTCCTGTTGATGAAGAACTTGAAAAAAAGTCTGTCTGAATGTTATTATGCAACCGGAGCAGGGGGCAGCTTTATTTTGACACGCCTCCAGTGCAAAGGGTGCTGGGAAAGTTAATGTATAAGCTTTGTTTACATGTCTTAGAAGTCCAATGTGTCGTCTGAACTAGATGAAGCACAGGAATTAGGACTTTAAGTTCAGTTTATTGCTCTGTTATTTACAATCCCAACTTCATAATCATTTCATACAACTACATAAAGAGTTTTAAAATGCCTCATAAAACATTTTTTCATAAACATTATGTGCATAACTTTTAATAGTGAGTGATTATTAGCATCATAAAAGCGTCTTAGGTCTAATTTTTCCTCTTTCTCTCGTTCTCACCAGTTTGCTGTCCAGCCTGGAGAATCTTTTGCAATGGATGTAACTCGCAAAGTGACATTTGACTGCAGCTGAATATTTCATTTTTGTATCAGAGCCATGTGGCAAACTTTGCTCACAGGGGTCTGTATCCCTCTCTGAAGATGTTGTGAAGCTGAAGCCTTCAAGACCAAAGGATGACCTTCAAAACCATATCACGTTTTATCTCAAGTGTCAGAACATTGATCGTCAAAGGATCCCCCATACAAAGACTTGGATTGTAACTTTTTTTTACATTGATTTTTCTTTTCTTTTCTTTTTTTTTTTTTAAGTTGACTGAATAAAAGAAGCTTTTATACGAGCTGCAGAAATGGACTAGAAGCACATGTGTAGCAGGGCAGCTACTGCAGCTCTTGGAATTACTTAGCCCCCAACTCCCTCATTCCCCTCCCTGTCGTTGTCAGACTAACCCACTTGTCCAAAAGGCAGACCCCACTATCCAATGGCATGGGTCAAGTTCTTCAGGAAGCCGGGGGGCAATCTGGGGAAATCGTACCAGCCGGGGAGCATGCTGTCTCTGGCCCCCACCAAAGGACTGCTGAACGAGCCGGGCCAGAACAGCTGCTTCCTCAACAGCGCTGTACAGGTGAGTGGGTCTGTTTGACTGGATTAAGTTGAACTTTTATTGGAAGTATTGATCTGTTTGTGTTGTTTCCATGACAAAAATTTAAAAGAATAAGCTCTTGCATCATCTTATAGATTTACACCAATTGTTTCTAATTTAGGCTACTTTTGCTTTTGAGAATTCACCAACAGTGGATGACCAATCACTGAGGTCTTGACCAATCAGAATCAAGTAATTAGAACAACCAAGTGATATTAATAGTACTGACACAAAGCTAAAGATATTGTGAGGGCTATGACTTATGCACACTATTGGTTTATCCTCAGGGGACAACAAATCTCTACAAAATTTGATAGCAGTCAATCTTGGTATAGACTGCATGGTATTTATACTGGAAATCATCTCACTTTTCATTCTTGTCTGTTATTTTTTCCGTGCTTTGGACTTATATAACCTTTCTCTTAATTGTGCGTCTGAGGCAACATTATTTATTCACTTGTCGCTGTCTTCGTCCACTTAAAAAAAATATGACCATTTATGCCAGGACTCTTAAGATTAGTCAGTATCCAAATTTGCCAGACCTTCCCAGCAATTAGGTAATGTACTTGAAGGTTGGGTTTGACTCTTGGGAAACTAGCCTGAGAGTTAGCAGCTCGCCACACAGTGAGGTCACTCCCGGAGACAGTGACTCAGAGGGTGAGCCAGCCAATGAGCTAGTTGAAGATGATCGTTACCTTCGGCTTTGTTTCTGCGAGGGGAGTTATTCTTTTAGTCGGTCTCTCATCACTCATGACCTTGAAGACATCGCCCTATGCTGTAATACCTTATGTAACAAAAGACCCGAGGATGTTGAAGTTTTTGTGCATAATAAGATGCCTCCCACTGAAAAAATGCCCCTTTTGTGAGTTTCATAGGACAAGCTCTGATGTTAATTCTTTAAAGGTAAAAAAAAATCCTCTCCCCCGTACAGGTGTTATGGCAGCTGGACATTTTCAGACGCAGCTTGAGGCAGCTACCTGGACACTTCTGTCTGGGAGAATCCTGCATCTTCTGTGCGCTGAAGGTAAGAAACAGTCGGAGTCATATGTGGAGAAAACGCCAAGGCAGCTTTAAACCTGAATTTGGTGACCTCTGGCATTTTAAGTTCTAGCATATGTAGTAAATTAGTATCACAATCATAAGACTGACTTTATGATCTATTTATTGACATTTTTATTTGCAGGTTTATCAAAAAAACTTTTCCTGGTTTTAAGCTGTTTTAAACATCGTTTAAACGGCTCACTACTCTTTTCATATTTTGTTTTCTGAAAACAGTTTGTTTGCCAAATTGGTGAATAGATTTTGATAGATGATACTAGAACGCTGAATTTTCAACTTTTTCAGTTTAACTTTTAAGTAACATCAAAAAGTTCAAGGAAGACTTACATTCTGTTTATAAAACAGGCCTGTCACTGTGTGTTTTAGCCTCAAACTGTGGTTTAAGTAACAATACATAGTCCTCATTTTATCTATCAATCCTTCAGTGTCCATATTAGGTCTTTTAAAAAAACAAAAAGCTTTCAATAGACTTGAAAAAATTTTAGCTGCCGCCAATATTCCCACTGTGACTCGTCTAACAAGAATGTCCCTGTCTGACATCTCCGAACAAAATAATGTATTGCAGAACACATGAGAAATTGCACTGATTGCACAAACACTGAAGGTGACTATGTGCTGTGTACTTGACAAGATATGACCTCTCAGTACACATTCATAGAGAGCATGAGGGTGGGACTGATCCAGACCGATAGGAATGTTGCTGTTTCACCATGTGACCGCTGTTTTTACCTGAAGCTAATGGCTGTTAAAGTTAAAGGACTGACTTTGAAGTGGTGTCCCTCTTCTTACGATTGCTCTTCGTGTAACTAAAATGAGATTATTTGTTCTTTTTTTCATACTGAATTTAAGTCAGATTTTCCGCAAGACAACTTGAGTCATGGTGTATTACTGTTTCACTGCAAAAAACAAAACAAAAAAAACACTAGAATTGCCCTTTAAATCAGTCGACACTGATATGGCATACAGCGCTCAGTAAAGATCTGGTCAAGTTTGAGTTCCTGCTTGTCAGCATAAATAAAGCAACTGTTTAGGTCACATATTTAGACTGTTCAGAGGGAAGTGAGGAGGACATGTGCTTTTAATAAACTCAATGTCTGGTTGTCCAAGAGCAATCAAAACCCTTCTTTTCCTCTTCAGGGAATTTTCTCCCAGTTCCAGCACAGTCGGGAGCGCGCCCTGCCCTCCGACAACCTGCGTCTTGCCTTGGCAGAGACCTTTAAGGACGAGCAGCGCTTCCAGCTGGGCTTCATGGATGATGCCGCAGAGTGCTTTGTAAGTTCCCGTGGCAACTTGGCTGTCCTGAGGGAGGGAGGGGTGGCGCATGTGTGTGTGTTCTTTTTTTTTTATGTGTGTTACCCTGCTGCCTCAGAGTTTGGGGATTGCACAGAAACAAACTGTTAGGCGAGGTCACTGAAAGAGCTTTTGTCCCTCCCTTCCCCTCCCTTCTACCCCTGCCACATTGCCACTAAATATCATCATGACAGGTTATATAAGGGCCACAGTTTTGTTTGAACCTCTCTGTTTTCTGATGCTAAATTATAGTGCATTGTCGTAGTCCTTTGAAAACTCAATTTCATGCACCCTTCTTTATTTTTCACCTTGGTTCTGCCCTTTTGGTTATTTTTTTTTAATAACAGACCATCGCTTGGTTGTAAGTTTTTCCCCCAAATGCAGCGTAATTTACCATTTTTTTTTTTTTTTAAATAATGAAAAAACATCCCAGACTATAAAAAAAGGACTGACAGCATTTCTTTACAGAAGCGTGTTGCATTCACCAAAAAAAAAAATCTGTTTTTGAGTAAATTTGTTTTCTTTTCTTTTCATAATCATTTAAAAACAGATGCTTTCATCCCCCTCTGCTTAATTTATTGGAAGCAAAAATGGCCCACTTGTTTAGTTTCATCAAGTTTTACTGTCTTTTGGGTTTGAGACACTGGGAGATACTCCTTTCTTTAAGTCAAATAGATGGAGTCGTCATAAGCTTGTTTACTTTGCGCAGGCATCTCAGGATTTGCATACCCTATGTTTAACTAATAACATGCTTTACTTTGATTGACCCTGTAGTCAAAGTTATCAAGGAGCTGGATAATATGCTGATTTGAAGCAGCCGCAGTGTTTAACATTGTTTATTGCAGGATTTTGAAGTATCTTGCTTAGTTAGGAAAAAAATTGTCTGAAAAACAGAAAGATGAAAAAAATAGTACAAAAAACAGAATAAAAATTTGTCTGAAAAATGGAAAGAGGAGAAAAAAATATTATTACAAAAAAACAGAAGAAAAAATAGTCAGAAAAACAGAAAGAAGAAAAAATATAGTCAGAAAAACAGTTACAAAAAAAAAAAAAAAAAACGGTTTCCTTTTTTTAAGTAAGTGAATGCAATACGCTTCAGTATTTCTTTACCTTTTCCTGTATTCGATTATTTTTTGGTAACTTTTTCTTTCTCTTTGCTAACTTTACCTCAAAAAAGAAAACAACTTTGCTGCTTTTACTTTGTTCGTCTGCTGTGACTTCTTTGATTTAGATCGGCGTTCATGTGCCAAAGTCACCGTCTTTTTATGACAGTCTTCATTCTTAATCCCACATCGATCTTTGCCCTTGAGCATCCTTCATATAATGCAATGGCAGCAGTGTGCAGCCTCAGGATTTATGTGAGGAGTAAGCCAGTGTCAGGTTTACAGGCTGTGAAGTTCGACTTACGATGGTTGCAGGCTTACCTGCAACCTTAACATTGTATAAACTCACATGCACTCAGTAGAAACAGGTGGGAGATAAAACTCAGAATATGCGGCTGTTTAAATGCTGTCAGGTTTACAATGATACTCCTAAAAATTGAGCTCTTGATGTGTGGCAGTGCGTGGCAAGGTGCTGAAGTTCTTTGCTCTTTGAAAGACAAAGAGTAGAAAAATCAGTAGCCTCTGGTGCTTGTAAACAGGTGGCTTTACGACTCCCATAGTTGAAAATATTTTGTCAGATTCCTGATAGATTATCCTTTTGTGCCACAGGAGAACATTCTGGAGAGGATCCACCTGCATATTGTGCCGGAGGAGACAGATGCCTGCACTTCAAAGTCATGCATCACGCATCAGAAGTTTGCTATGACTCTTTATGAGCAGGTGAGTAAGGGGTTAGACTACCAGACAGCCGTGTGTCGTCATTTTACTTTTGCTTTTCCTTTTCATGCCTTAAGTGCGCCTTTATTTTGAAACTGTAGATGTATCACTTTGAGCTGTGTTTGTTTGCACAACCTCTGCAGTATGTGTGTGCAGGCTGAACACAGCAGCCAATGTTAAGATTAAGCAGCACACACACGCATAGACAGGTACATGAATCACTGTCTGGGACAGTAGAAATCCAATCCGTCATGTTTTGATACTGGGTTGCCCCAGTGGAATAAGGAGGGTGTTTCTGGTCTGATTCCACTGTGCAGAAGCAGCACCAGATAAATCACAGATGGTATACACATAAATTCCAGCACACACACACACTCAGACACACAAACACACACACCAACACCCTTCCGTGAGACTGTGATACCCATCATTGACACCATCCCAAACCAGTTCCATCTCGGTATCAAACAGATAATACGTCTTTGTACTAAATCCCCTAGGGGCACAGAGTGGATTTCGTTCCACCCTGACTTCTGAGCACCCAATCCAGTAAATATTATCGAGGCCTGAGTGAGGATTGCTTTACTCAGTTTGTATTTTAGAAGCAATCACAAGGAGGACAGCTAGACAGGCGTGTTTTAATCTCTTGATGACGTTTCAAATATACAAGAACGTCAACAGATGAACTTTTTCAAACCTCAGGAAGAAGATTAATATTCCCCTTTTTTAAAAACTGTCTTTGTAAGTCTACCTAGGGTTTAATTAAAATGTTTCAGAATTGTAATGTTTTTGTGAAAACATTTCACTACTTTGACTCGTAAAATTAATTAAAATATGGCAGCATGACTTTTAAAAAGTTTCCTTTTCATGAAACTTTTTGATAAAGCAAAATATATTATATAAAAAAACAACAAAGACTTTAAAATTGTAAATCAAATCAATTATTGAGAGCTTTTCACAAGGCAAATGCCAACACAAACAAATAAGACGATTTATTTTTATCTTTTAAAAGACGGATTTTTATTCTACCAGTCCAAGATTTTTGCGTAAACTTATTGAGCAGAATAAGATTTTTTAAATATCCTTTTAAGCTCTTTTTCATATGGGATTTGATGAAATTATAAAGCCAACCCTTACCTCATGTATTCCCCTTGTTTTTACCGTATAAGTTTGCTCATGCTGAGAATCTTGAGAATAACAGAAAAACTTTTGTTGTTGAGACAGACTTAAGACAAACAGGAGGCAGTCATATTGTTAAACTTAAAATTTGGAATTTTTTTTCCAAAATGTTTTGCTAAGGTACATCGAAACTTAACCCCTGCAGTCCATGATTCTTCGTTTACTGTGAAAATAAAAAGAGGTCACGCACTCAGAAAGAAATGAGCTAACTTGATAGTCTTTGTCTGCTGACGTCTCACATATAGTTTTTGTTCATCATCACTCTCTCTGTCTCTCTCCTCTCTGCAGTCTGTGTGCCGTAGCTGTGGGGCATCCTCTGACCCACTGCCGTTTACAGAGCTTGTGCATTATGTCTCCACCACCGCACTCTGGTAAGGCACAGGCAAAATGAAACTTCCTTCACTTTCCTCCATTGTCATCTGTCCAGCTCCACTCTGTTTACACAATTCCTGCCTTTCTTTGCACATTTGTCACAAGGACAACTTTTTAGCTGACATTTCACATGCAACAGTTTCCCCCCCTCTCTGCACACACCTTTATCTTTATTTTTCTCTGTCTGTCACTTTTCCTCTCGCTGCAGTGTTTTTGTCCTGCTGACAAAGACTCTCTTTTTCAGTCAACAGAATGTTCAGCGCAGGGACGAGTCTTTTGGGGAACTGTTACAAGCTGCAAGTACAATAGGAGACCTCCGCAACTGTCCAGTAAGTGTTTGTATGCAAAGTGTTCTTATTAGCAATGAGTAAAAATGCTCCAGTTTCGTGCGATAGCTATTCCTCAGCAGCGTAGCTATTCTTCTTCTTCTCTATTATTTGTTGAGTAAACTTTCTTCTGGAGTGCAGTTTGGTTTTTGAAGTAATTTTTACTGACTGGCCAGTTTTGGAGTCCACTTGGTAATTGGGCAGAGTTGCTTTTGGACGAAACTTGAGTCATTTTTTTTGTGTCTTTTGTTTTCCAGAGCAACTGTGGCCAGAGGATAAGGATCAGACGGGTCCTCATGAACTCCCCCGAGATAGTTACCATCGGCTTCGTCTGGGACTCCGACCAGTCAAACCTCATAGAGGAGGTTATCAGATCACTCGGGCCTCATCTCAGCCTTTCTGCAGTGAGTCAGCTTTACCCAGCTTTTTCTGTACATTTTTGTCGTTTTCAACCTCTCCATTAATATTTAGTGACCTGAGGTGACTGGAAATCCCACAGAGATTATTTCAGGAAAAGAAAATGTCACCGATTTTGAATGGATTAAAGATTAAGGTTGTTTAAAAGTGATCTAACAACATCAAGCTGGAGCATATCTTTGCTCTTGTGTGAGGAAATAATAAGTTCACATGGTTTAAATGGTTAGGATCTTTTCTAAACCACAGAGCTGTCTTTTTTATCTTTGGCTGTTTTCTTTGGTGCAATCGAACATATGTGGGAAATAAAGTGGGGATTTATTTCTCTGTAAGTAGGGCCAGTTGCGTAAGCAGTTAACGCCCGATGCCCAGTTGGCTTGCACCACAGAGCAAAAAGCCCGTCCTGGCCTTGGTTGGCTTGTCCAAAAGCCCCTCCTTTCTCCTCTGTGTTTTCCTGTGCATGTGTTTGTGTGTCTGAGGGAACATGTGGGCCGAATGGACGTCACTAAAATTGCAGAAAGAACATGTTTCCAAGACTGCTTTTGTTGCAGTGTTTATATTCACACATTCTTCATACTAAGGGTGCACAAACATGGTTTTGTTTCTTTTTTTTTTTTTTTCTGTGTTCGACACATGAATACAAGTGTCTGACATTTTCACATAAAATATGTATGGCCTGATTTGGAAAATATTCCTCCAGAGCTAGTCCACATCAACCCACTGTGTCTGCAGACAAAAAAAAAGACAAAAATCAATCAGTGAAGTAGAGATCAGGGCGAACATTACATTACATAACTTTCCTATTGAAGTTTCAAACCGCTTATTTGACGGCTCCCTCTTGCGTGGCTCCAAAGCAGACCATCAGAAGAATTTGTCAGAACCCCCCTCCCACAAGTGTGCCACAAAGCCCTTGATTCAGTCGAGAGTGTTTCATGTGACTTTGAGTGTTAAAGGGAGACCTCCACCCCTGTCGTTGGCTTTGAATCTATTGTTTGAGAGAGTGAGAGGGGCACAGAGAACTGGTTGTGCAGGAAAGATTGGGAGGTAGAAACACGCAGCTGTCCGGCCAATACCTCTACTAAATGCTGCACAGGGTACACTGGGCTATACGGGGTCATTCTGATTTAATTTCTCACAGAAATCAGATTCAGATAACAAACCTTTAGCATCCCATATTTCATTATTTTTCTGTACAGCTGCTTTCCACTCACTCAGAGTCTGAACATGATGTTTTCTTTCATTTTTGTGGCCTGGCTAAATCCAGCAGCTCCATTTATATGACCAGTCAAGACAGCAAATTTACACCCCTATAATTTCCTTTAATGGAAATGTTGCCGAGGCGTGATGGTGGGACCAAGTCGTCTCGCTTCTGTGCTGACATTGGAGGTAGTAATAGAGGCATTAGATTTCTGTAAGACTGCATAGCAGACAGGGTGGAGCTGTGTGTGTGTGCATGTCTGTGTCTGTGTGTGAGTGTGCAGAGCTCAAGCTGAGTGTCTACTCTTCTGCATCTGTGGCGTCATAATGATTTAAAATCTCAAACCGTGGTGCCAGCAATATGCTATTACAGGATCACCATTAGAAGTGCAGAAGTGTGGTGACAGAAAAGCTTTGTTATGGCACAAACTGAGCCACTTGAAATAAGCTAAGCTAATGGTAGCAGCAGCCTAGCACCTCCTGGGAAAAAGGAAATTCTTACATGAAACTGCTTTATTTTGTTTTGAGTTTTGGGGTGCATGGCATTAGTGAATGTATAACCATCAGCAATACAAATACAAATAAAGCTCTAAAAATATCTTAATAGTGTCCACTTAAACCAACATTAATGTTTGGATCAGTCATTCTTAAAATTAGCTAAATCATGTGGCAAAATTAAACTTGACTGCAGCTGGTGAGTATCTTGCTTCCATGTTGTTTTTTCAACTAAGAGGCCTGGGGATTATTTTGAAGGACAAAACAAATGGAACAAATGTTAAAAATTGAAATTAAATCCAAAGAGGACTCTCTGATGAAAGTATGTTTTGAGAAGGACAGGGAAGAAAAAAAAGGTTTGTTCCTTGTTAGCTGAAGAAACAAGAATGTTCAGTCTGAAGAACCACATTGACTTGTTGTGACACTCGCTGACCTAATTTAGCATTCAAGGCTTAATCTGATGATTTAGTGTTGAAACAACATCTACTTTTTCTACTTCTTTTGACCTCATTCCTTTTCTTTGGTGGTAGTTTTACATTTACACACAGGGTCAGAATTGAAGAACAAAACTTTGGGTCTCATTGTATTAATGTGAGGCTATAAAAAAGACCCTCTAGAGAGCTGTAGTTTTTGTCTGAACATCAGTCTCTTTGAAGGCACGGATTCAAATGAACCTTTATTGGGACTGATAATCAAATCAATGACAGGTCATTCCCTGAGACCTTAATCTATAACAGATGGACTCACTGATTACACCAGCTATCAATATCATTTACCTTCCAGCACACTTACTCTATGTGGCATTAGGCGATATACTGCACAGTGTATTAATGTATACCTACCTATGTTTGTGTGTGTTTGTGTGTGTGTGTGGACACAGCTCTTCTACAGGGTGACAGATGAGCATGCCAAAAAGGGAGAGCTGCTGCTCGTGGCGATGATCTGCTACTCCAGCTACCACTACTGTGCCTTCGCCTTCCACACCAAGTCTTCCAAATGGGTCTTCTTTGACGATGCCACGGTGAAAGAGGTGAGAGAGGGTGAATTAATCAAAAAGATAATCAACTGTGTTGGTCTTTTTGGACATGTACACCTTTGTGTTGATTATAGGTGTTAATATTGAAGTTGAGGTTATTTTTTTAAGATCATTTTTTTATTTCTTTTGCATATTTGTTTGTATACCCTTACTTTATAAAATATTTTTTAGTAAATATATTGATTCAAAATGATCAAAATTATTGATTGGGTAATGTTTAAAGGTCCTTTTTTCCTTATGATAAATAATTAAAAAAAAAAAGTTCAACCTTTTTCATTTTACAAATTATTTACAATGATTACAAATTACCAATTTTAAAAAACAAGGAATGTCTATCTGCATACTGTTCCAGTTTTTTAAAGCCAAGAAACTGTTGAATCAACAGATAAACATCTGGATTTGAATGTGTTGTGGTGCATCTACTAAAAAAAAAAAAAGGGGGGGGGGAACTATTCTGGTTCATTTTTCAGGTGATATCATAAAGTTTTGATATAAGGATTGTTTGCACAAAGTTTCAAGTTTTTTAATAAAAAAAAAACAAAAAACAAACAAACAGTAAAATGTTCAGTTCTGAGTTGCTCACGGCAATAGAGAGTCGCAATTTTCTGTCTCCAATCTCCATCACCAAGTCTCTTTATCGCCCAATAAGGCTTACATCGATTGCCCTTCATGAGCCTCTGGGTTGATGAGCCTTTATGGCACTGAAGAGTCAGCCTACCTCCCAGCCCCCACCCCTATTTCTACTGCAGTACCCCAACTCTGTCATCGCAAAGTACTGCAGTAGTGAGGTGAAGCATGACCAGTACAGATTATTTCACTGATCCCCCCATTGGTTAAAGTTGAAGGGTTATTGAGATTGCCGAGCTGCTCTGTGCAGGTGTGTTTAATCTTTGTGTGTAAAAGCTCTTATTTGTGTCTGTCTGTTTTTGCAAGCTTGTGCTTTTGTGCTGTATTGTACAGTACACAGGCTGTGAATCCTCATCCCTTCCTTTTACTAAATATTGGATTTATTTTCATGGTGTGCAAATATGAGCGCCCCTTTTGTCTCACACGCTCACAATTTTCTCGGGGACTGTGGTGCAGCGGCTGGCTGGCTCTGTGTCAATCCATCAGCAGCTTGTGCTGTGTGTGCAGAACCCCCCCTCTACCCCCTACCCCCCCAACCCCCAGCTGAGATGGAGGAGCTACAGTGCTCATCAGCGTCTGCCAAGCCCATACCTGGGTCGAAACTTGCCAGCATTTCTGTGACTCCCCAAGTCCCAGCTGCTAAATGACTGCTGCTGCGGTGTAGCTTCATTTTCTGCTTTTTTCCAGTGCAAGAGAATCTGTATGTTTAATGAAAAGAGGTCTAATGATTCGCTTTTCTTTACCTCATCTTTCCATCCCTCTCATCCTCCCGCCTCCCTCCTCTTCTACCTTCATTTGCTTAATTAAGAAGCACACAAGCATCTGTTAGCCTGCAGCCTGCCTTTGTTGTGCCTCGGTGGCGAGACACGCACCTTACTCAGCTTACTCAGCTAATGTGATTGTGCGATTTAGCCTTGGTGTGTTGTATTCATTCACAACTTTGACTGAACAAATATTATTTTAAAAAATGTGAGGTTTTATTTTGAAGCTGCAATATCTGTCTGTAAAGATATTCTTATGTTTGGACCTGCAATGGAGATCGGAAATGTAAAAATAAACCCACTGGTATCTTGTGTTTCTGAATTTCTGCATTGGGTGCTCTGACCTCCTCTTCCTCTTTGACTGTTGTTTCAGATTGGCTCCAGGTGGAAAGATGTGGTCAGCAAATGTATCAAAGGTCACTTCCAGCCTCTCCTCCTCTTTTACGCCAACCCTGATGGGAGCGCAATCACCGCAGATGATGCCTCAAAACAAAACAGCAGCCACTCTCACTACAAGACATCTGTGAATGGAGATGTGCAAGGTATGATCTGAAACTACAGAAACTAGATCACCTTTTACTTGAATTAGTGAAGTACTTTTTATTCAGCTAGTTGTGTTTGTCCCTCCTCTACGACACCACAAAAGCAGGGATGTTGTTCCTGGAGTTCGACAAACTTTCCCTCTGTCTCACGGCACCTTATTCATCATTCCTCTTCTGCTTTGCTATTTTGTTTAGTTCACACTCATGACTTTACATGTGCAGAGCGCTCTGTGCTCTCATTGGTCAATGTCAGTGTTGTTGAAGGCAGAAAGAAGATCAAACATGCAAGACTTTCTGTCAGGAGGTTGTGAGATGCCTTAGATGTGGCCTTGATTTTTACATTACGCAGGATAGAGCGATCAATTATTCGGGGCTGACTGGTCCTGAAACATCCATCTGCTGGATCAGACTATGACTGTGTTTATAGCCTGTGGCCTGACCTCCACTTAAAAAGCGTTTTCTCTTTAAATTTCTTATTTGAATACAGGGTTGCACTCATTAATATAAGTCCCAGATAATGAACAAATGTGGGACTGGATGTCAGTTGTACAAATTTACAAAAAAATAACCCTTTAATTTAACTGTCTTTAAGTAAAATAAGATTTTGTTAAATATTTCAAAGGTCTCTGTGATCACAAATCCAGATAGATGTAATTTCCAGGACACCTCAGCACCATACAGTAGGCTCAAATACAGGACTGTAGAGTTAAATCAATGCCACACAACAAATCTACTATGACAGCTATTTACAATTATTTGCTGACAGGCTCATATCTGTCACCAGGACTTAAACAGGTCGATACCGATACCCATTTAATACTGTCTACTACAAAAGAACTGTCTTATTCTGACAAAGTTATTGTTTTTTTTTAACATTGAAAAGGACATTTGGTATTAAATTTAAATATTTGTTTAGTTTAAGTGTGACTTATTTGACTAATTCAGTTTTTTACCCTGTACATCGAGCTGAATTAATTTGACTTTAAACAAATATGATAATTTAACATGTTTGCATCTTATAAAGAAAAAAAATCTCACTTTATTTGAAAATCACTTTTAATACAAATCAGGTTCAGAGAAACATCAGCAAACAGAAAAACAAGTCTTTATAGGGCGTGTTAAATCCCGGATCATAAGTTGCCTTTGCGGGCAGTAATGAAAATTTGTTTATGAGCAGCTCTGCTGTTTGGATTATATATCCCTGGATTTGTTTGGTTGGGGAGGTTTTTATCCCCTTAAAAGATCCTCCTCCAACTCTGTGTGCTGGCCCTGCCCCAGGTCCAAGCTGTGGCATCCGCTCACTGGCCGTCAGAGCTAACAGGGCGCAGGACCAAACTGGATCATCCTTCGAAATAGAGAATATTGTGCGGATTTTGTCATCTAAATTGTGTTTCTTATTTTCAGGTGCAGTCTAGCTATTTATGGGTATCGAATTTATGTTTGATCGTAAAACTTATGTAACAAGGTTTACTGCATTTTTGTTAGAGAAAGACAGTCCTGCTTCATGGCTTCTGCTTGAAAGATTTGTTGTTTATTTTGTTTGCTCTGCAGGTTTGGATTCTCCAAACTTGACTCCAAAGAAATTGGACCTGACCAGGGAGAATCTGAACGCTTTCCTGAGCCAGGACTCTTTCAAACAGAAATCTCCTTCAAACTTCAGCAGGGGCAGTGCTCAAACCAGTGCAGGACGGGGACCAGGTAAGACACAAACTATGCAAGAAATCTGTTTGCAATAAGGGGACAAATGTTGTACTGAGCCTTAATTCAATTTCAAAGGAATGAGCATGTTTGAAAAGTCTTTTTCCACTTGTTTGAAAGTTTAATAATTTGAAAATAAAGCCAGGATCTAAACACACGCTTGATTCTTGCCACATGTGAGACAATCAACAGATGAGTCACGTGGTTTCGGTGATTGAAGTTTTTAGCCTTGAATTAAGAATTTTGATGATTTCAATTCTGGAAAATCAACCAGAGGAAGAAACCTTGCATGTATTTTGCTGCAAAGCTTTATCAGCATGGGTCATGTTAGGGATTAGCAGACTTGTTGAAGAGAGTATTCATTAAAGTGCTGCAAATTCGGCACATGGACAGGACACAAGAGAAAATGGTGTTCGAACAATAAAACAGGTAGAATTACAGCTGATTTAATGACCCTACACGTTTAATATTTACAATGGGGCTTTTTTAAGTTCTTGTTTTGGTGGAGTCCAAGAAATAGTCTCAAAACCCGCCTGGTATATTTGGAAATATCATCATCTCCTCACAGTGATTCCTGTTGAAAGCTCAGACAGCAAACAGACCCCACAGTATGATCATGTTTTCATGTTTTCCTCTGCCATGACTAATCATCGCGTTTCAAAGTGAATATCTGTCAGAGACGGGCCAAAAAAAGTCACTGCGCTGCCATGTTTTCGCACTGCTACCTTCCCACTCTCGTAGCTGAAAATGTACTGAAGTATGTGTGAAGTTTGACTTTGTGTACACACTCTGCAACTGTCTTGTGCCTTGGGGGGTGCAGGGGACTAAAAGTGGAAATAGAGAAAGGAAAAGGATGTGGTGACACTACATATCTATACATACACTCAGACGGAAATACTTGTAATAGTGACTGACTGCAGTGATGGAAATTCCCTCCTGATGCAAGTGAGGTTCAACTGAGAAGGAAAAAATATACACTCTGTCTCTTCTTCAGGAAAAAGTGTAAAATTCCTGATGGTTAAACCTGACATTTTTGTGTTTCTCCAAGTGAAAATGAGCGATCCCAAGAATCGCCTCAGGGAGATTTCTCGAGAAGTTGCCCAGAAAGCTGGAGAGGTGCGTGGGATGCATCCATCCAGAAGAGACCCTGATAGGAGCGGTCAACGGAGGATAGAGTCACGCTACAGAGGTGAGGTCATTCTGGACGGTATGTGGATGTAGATATAGAAAGAGGTGAGCACGAGAACAGAGAGGCTTTTAGGTACAAAAGGCTAGCCTTCCTCTTCCCCAGCCCCCCTTATGTAACCAGGAGCAATGTGTCAGAAAAGGGATTAAGTGCTGACGTCTGTAGACGGAGCCTGCCTCCATCTCACTCTCTCTTACTCAGAGCTAGTCTCCTCCTTTCTGAACAAACATAAAGTTAAATTAAGTAGAAACACAGATTAATACTGCATTGTTTAATTAAAGGACTAGATGACCTTTTTCCCACATCCCCCTCCTCTTTATCAATCACAATTCCAGTGTGTTTAGCTATCTACTTCACTCCTCTTTTGGATCAACTCCCCTTTCAATTAGTGAAGGGATCACAGTGCAAAAATTGAAACTTCCAAATCCGCCACACCAACAGCAGCAGCCGCCTGTGTTAGCAGCTAGCTCACATCCACGTATGATTGAATGCTGTAGGCTAAAGGGGTTTTGTGTTGCTGTTGTGATGAATGCAGCAGCTGTAGGGGACACCGCAGTTAATGTAAGTGGTAAGAATGTACCGCAGAAGCAGAGTGGCTCATGGCCCGGGCTTGCAACGAACGAAAAACTCCTCTCTAGGCAAGAAAAAAAAGAAAACTGGAGATGTGCTTAAAGAACTTGTGGGAAAGCCCTTAGGTATTTAAAGAATGATCTACGGCTGTATTAATGCAGACATGTTTCCGCTCTCGCAAAATGATCCACTGCCTTGTTCACTGCTGACAACACGGAGGAGGCGGCTGAAACTTTTGAAAACACATCGGTTTAATATATATATGAGCCGAAATGTAGAGAGCGGTGTTTGAAGTGATTTAACTCGGGCACTCAGTCAGCAAAATCCAAAGCAATAGGGACTCAATCTCTTGTGGGTTATTTCCAAGGACTGACAGTTATATGTGGCATTAAATTCACTTTTTCTATCCTGAAGCAGGACGGTACAAGAGATCTGATTTTCTAGGACAATTGAGTCACAGAACTTTTATATACTTAAATTTAAATTGTATCACAAAGGAAATGGATTATTTTTGAACATTTTTATATTAATTGAAAAGAAAATTCTAGGAAAATTTTCCAGGAAGGATGTCTGCTCTTCTATTTAAAAGTGTCTATTATGGCTGGAAGTGTCCTTAGAGTTGCAGACACACTATCACATGCTGACTTGTCACTGCATTAAAAAAAAAAGCCTTTGTGTTCCTTCACATGTAGAAACACAGAAGTGCTATTTTTCATCAGCGGCATCTGCGTGGGCTGGCTACCCTCTGTGTACACAACACGAGGAAAATCGACCCCTGTCGGCTGTAATTTACACCTCCCTGTCATCCGCAGACATAAATGTCAGTAACCCTGTTGTCGTCATGCCCTTCTCTTACTTTCTGCACGACCTGCACTGCACTGTCACAAGGCTTGCTGTCTTATGGTCAGAGTGCCAGTGAAAGCCAGTAATTGGTTATTTACAGCACTTTCATTTAGTCCCCGAATGAAAGACCCATGTATGTAGTTTATTCTATCTTATTTTTCTGATGTTTGTGTCGGCAAATTCAAGGTGAGAAATACTTAAAGTTGGTAAATTTCAAACATGTACTGTGATCTTCAAGTCTTGATTTCTTAATTTGCTTATTTTTTATTTTTTTAAAACCAGATCCAGGTCACGACAGGACCTACTCCCGCTCCGCCTCCCCTCCAGAGAACGGCTTCAGACAGCATCTTGAAACCCGGCTGTACAGCAGCCAAGGAAAAGGTCCCACTCGGACTGAGCGGACACCCCACTTTGGTGGAAGGTCTTCACACGAGCCCGCACGCTCACATTCAAGGGTGCAAGTGTTGCCTGGTGTGCCCAGTATCAGCAGTGGGCATCAGAGCCGCAGGTTAGAGCAGGTTTCGAATGGATACGACACAGACAGCAGCCAGGACTCCAGAGAGCGTCCTGGAAGCGCAGGGAACGGCCGCAGCAGGGCCAGCCGCCCCTGGAAGCCCATGCGGGAGGCGCTGAATGTGGACAGTGTTATAAGCAGCGGTGGGAATTCAGCGACTCAAGAGCGAAGGCAGCACAGTCCCAGGAGGAGACCCAGCAGTCAGTCGCCGTCCCGGGATAGAGAGAGGGACAGAGATTACACATGGGGCGGCAGAGAAGAACGCAAACCAAAGAGCCTAATGACAATCTATGAGGACGAGCAGAGGCATGAAACTGGAGGCAGCAGGAGCTCTCTGGACTCAGACAGCCGGGGTGGCTACAGTGACAAGGACAGGTCAAAGAGCTCAGCGACTCTAAAAGTGCGAAACGACAACTGGAAGATCCAGAGGACTGAATCTGGATATGAAAGCAGCGACAGGCTAAGCAACGGCTCGGCAAACCTGGACTCTCCTGTTGTGGAGAATCTGTCTTCCAAGGACCTGCGGCCAATCCCTGAGCTACATCTAACAAGGTAAATCAACTCCCACAAAAATCTTCTCGCTGCAAAATCTCGTAGCGGAAACGGCAATTGCACGATTTCTGCCGTGTGATCGCCTGTATTAGAAGGCTGCTTAGTCATGCCCAACTCTCAAAAGTGCTGCCATTTGTGAATGATTAAACATAACACACAAACAGCTCCAAGAATAGCTAGACCCATTTAACATAAATGCTCGCAAGGCAGACGCAGCAGCCTTATTATGCCAGGGCCGTGGTTTGTTGGCTTTGTTGTGCAGGTCTTGTTTGGAGTTAATGATCCCAACTAGCTGACACCTCATGTGCTCGGAGAAGAGAGCAAGGAAGATAGCTGACTTCCTAAACCGCTTCTGCATTATTTAAGCCTGTGTTTGGATGGTATTTTGACAAAGAGCGTCTTTGATTTGTAAATTTTCTTATAGGTGAGACGTTCTCAAAAAGGGAATACAATATGAAATCCTGTTTTTGTTATTCGGTATGACATTGGATCTTTTGGTTTTCATCCCAAACATTGTTATGCACTTGATAGCAGATATGAGGCATCCTCAAATGACACATAATAAAAATCAATCATAACAACATTAAAAAGATTGATGACAAGTACTTGTGTAAGTTTTAACAACATGATGTGTGTACGTGTGCGATCGCCACAGCCAAGAAAAGAATGATGCATGACTCCATATTGATTCCACCGCCGTAAATCATTCATGAAAAAATACATATTTAGGTGGAGGTTATGAGGGTTTATGCTGCTTTGATGCTCACAGCAAGGATCCATCTTATTCCTTTTAAGTGGTTGGTAAAAGATCAAGCTCTGGGATTTCTCGTGGCAATCCACAGTGCATGAATAATTGAATTTATTTTGTATTTTAGGGATCACTTCCCTCAGAGAAGAAATGATGATTCGAAGGCTGACGTATTGCACTCTGCATTTTCCACTGGTGAGTAACTCTTTCATACTTTGCTCCTGTACCAAAAAAAACAAAACACAGTTTTATGAGCTTTTTAATCTCCCAAAGTCGCCAAATAAAGGAACAGTCTCTGAAAAAGGCTTGGCTGATACATTATTACAGACAGACTTCTGTGTTTAGCAAGGATCTGTAACATTAAGACAGTACAGAGCAATTCTCCTGATTTATCGTTCCAATAGAACCGTGAAGGTCACAGCTTGATCGAGAGGATACAGTACAGAAAATAAGGGGAAGTGTGTTCGGGTTCCTCACTAACTGGCCTTGACCTTTTTTTTTGCCTCTGAAAAGTTTGTGTTATGCAACTCGCAGAAAAATAGAAGTGGATGAGAAAAAGAAAACTCTTACAGAACTTGATCTTTTAAAAAAAAAATCAGCCAGATATTTCATCTTTGATTTAAGAAATTTTGCAAAGCAGTCTTTCTTACACTTCAAAAAAATCCAAAAAAAGGGGATTAAAAAAACACAAATTGTTAGTGTCACATAAATTCTTGCATCAGGAAAAAAAATTATTTTGTAGATTTATGTATAAAGAAATTTTGAAAGGGAAACCAGCGGAGCACTTAAGTTGTCCAAATAAAAAATGATGAACCTCAAATTTGAGTCATGTAACAAGTTGCAATAATGGTTATTTTTATCTCCCAGACAGGATGAAGGGAGATTAGATTACATGAACAGTGCTGGGCGGGGGCTGGGTAGGGGGTTGTCGCATGGACACCCGCCACATGCTTTATGTGCTTCATGCCTGCTTGTAATAAAAACATCACCAGCATAGGGAAAATATCTTTATAGATGAAAAACATTAAAAAAAAATACCTCACTAATTCCTTACACAGGACAACATGAGTTAATCCTGAATAGGAGGAGGAGATGAGTGAGCTTGCAGGGGCCACCCAGCTGTGCCCAGCCGGGTGGAAAATGCCATGACTGGGCCTGTCAGAAGGTGGTATTCGTACATGAGGCAAACAAAATGCCACTTTTTTTTTTTCATTGCAGCACTGCAGTAATTTCAAGGTCCTGGAGTTAAAAAATACAGCAGCTATTCATTTCATGTAGTTTGATCCAGAGTTGAAACATAGAAGTTAGTAATTGCCCTGGGAGAATCTACACAAGCTGAGTGAATCATGTGAAAGAGGACTTGGCAAAGAGACAAACACCTCTGTTTTATTCAATCACTACTACAACTCCCACTTTTATATTTAATCTTGCCTCATTTTTTTTTAAAATCAAGGTAAACACGGCTAAATTTTCTCATAACTACTTGTATAAACCTACATTTAAAGGATTCAGATGGAGGTTAAATATTGTAATTGGAAAAGCACCCATTCTATCTGCCCCCTAGTGTCTCAAATAAAGTATGACAGCCTACAACTCATGCATCTTTAATCATAACATTAAAAAGGCTTAGTTTTTTTCTTTGTTGAAAGTATCCACAGTTCTGTCTCGACTTAATGCCCTCTAATTTGACTCATGCTTTGAAAAGCTGCTCTGTTTATTGCTAAATCTTAAATCAGCCGTTATTCCGTCAAAAGGCCTTTTGGGGTCTTTTCTCCAGTCGTTGTTTCAAGTCGTCTGTGATATTTATGCCTCGCTGTCTGCATATTGTATTGACAAGCTGCTGTAAATGTTTCCAAAGTCAATTTGGCTGAAGTTCAGCAGCGGTAGTCTGGCGTGAGCTGCCGTTTCAGAGAAGCCTGAGCAGATTCCAGTAGTCCATTAAAGTCCAAAATCCTTTCTAAAAGCACACAGATGTGGGAGGGCAGGCGCGAGGAGTTCAGCGACAATTTTTAACCACAGGCGTTTATTCTCTCGATCGTCTGTTGCTTCAGAGGAGTGACCTGAAGTTAGTGTCATCTCTGGGTCAGGGTCATCTTCATAGTCTTGTAGCCGACTGTCCTGTCATTGCTCGCATGAAAGGTTAGGGCTGTCAGGAGATGGGTGCCCTCAATCTAAACAACAATCTCACGAAACAATGTTTTTTTAAAAGTTAGGATTACATAAACAGAAGAGTCATGCAATAAAGTTTCTTTCAATAAGCCTGAAAAACTAGATTTAAGTGACAAAATATGAGGAAAATCTGATTTTTTTCACACGTCTTCTGAATAAGCATATCAAGAGCTTTATTATCACTAAGCTTGACCATCTACTTCACAGGCCTGCTGTGACTGATCTAATAATCATGCCAGAGCGATAATACATATTAACATGCCTGTGCCATAACCCCACATACAGAATCAGATATTATTCTGTCTGATGCTCCAGTTTGTGATGGCTTCTCTGGGTTCTGGCCGCTGACAAGATATAAAAGTTGAACTCTTTCCCAAAGTTCAGTTTCCAGTTCAGGTCTTAATGAAGCGCTGAACCGCAAATATGTATGCAAGTCTGATTGATGCTGAAGAATTTTAAGTACCCCAGACAGCACAGATCTACAAATCTCAACTTGACAGCCTCCAATTGAAATATGTTGATTTTTTTGTCTCTTTTTTGTTTTTATCTTTCTTTTTTGTCACATCAACAAAACTTCAAAGGGCCTGTCAGGAAATTTTGCATGAACAATTTCTGCAAAACCTAGTTAGGGTTTACTTTCATGGTCTGTGCGGAGGCATATTTTCTATTTCCTCCGAGAGCTTCACTCCCTAGCAGATGGAATAATTGAGCTGATGTCGGATAACGTCTGTGTTTCCCTCAGTTAACCGTCCTGAATATGTTTTTAGAGGAAAACAGCAGGCTCTAAACAGGTGCCTCTTGAACTTTTCTCAGAACTATATTTTTTCTCTGATGGGATTAGAGACCGGCCTGTGACTGATTTACATGACCCCACTACCTTTATATTTACAATTTGTTTGTTTCCACATAAATGCTTTATCGTCCTGGATTCGATTTGTCCTTTTTCTTCCCATTTAGCACGGGGATGTCAGGGGATTTTTTTTTTTGTCACCACTTGGTGCAGTTTAGACAGTACATTGAATGCCACTGAGCCACAGTCTAATCCAAGCAATCACAGTACATGGACAGATTCCCAGGCAAGTGCAGTAGGCCGTGTAAACAGCAGGACACCTTGAGTACATCTGTTTTTGCTGGCTGCAGTGGTGATCCCCAAATTCTACGGAAATGAATGTTTTTTGGACATCGGTCCCGATCTGAACCTGAAGATTTGATTTACACGTATAGAATTAAACAGTTTTTCTGCTTTCAGTGGTAGCAGACACTTTTCAAACCCAGCAGCCGGCTGTTTGTTTCTCTTTGAAGCCTTTGCTTGGCAAAAGCGTACCTTAGCAGAAAGAGGAGCGGATTTTCTAGCATCATAAACAGCATCTCTTTTTGTTTTTCTTTCTGAAATAGATATTGTTACATTTTGCTTGCCAACACGGCAGATCAGCGTCATCAAATTGTGAATTGCCACATGGACTTAGCGGCTTAAAAATGCAATAGTGTAGCAGAGGGGATCTGGAGTCTGGAGTCTGACCCTGGCGTAATTGCATGCCAGCACAAAGGATTTAGCCACTAATGCTTTGAGAGAGCACAGGGGGAAAAAAGGGGGTATGCTGACACATCACAGATGGTCCTCAACCACTCACTCTCTCCCTCGTCCTGTTGGTCAGCTGTTGTCTGTCTCGGGCCTTGTAAATCACACCAGCCATGCTAACTTGGCTAAACTCCACACCGGCCCCCACCAAAAGAACTATTTCTGAACCTGCTTGTGCTGATCTCATAGTTGAAATCAGCTTTTATCCTGCAGAGTTCATTCCCCACACTTCATAACATAAAACTACATGTAAATGTGGGTGATTTTTTTCTGTGTATTTCTGTGAGTTTCTCCAGTGTCCTTATTGTTTTATTATTATTGTTGTCGGTTCAATGCTAACGGGCCCTGGATATGAACCCAAATTCCATCCGAGGGGCCGTGTTCTTTGGCTGGATCAGACAGTCAGATTGGTACACAGGGGGCCTGAGGGCTCTCTGCCAGACTGCCTGCTTTGATACTTCCTCTCCCAGCACCAGGCAATGGGCCTCATCGTGACCTCTGTTAGATAACATGTCTTTGCTGGGGAGACAGGGAGAAAAAAAAATGTTGCTGTGTTTAAATAGAAATCCATGACAGATGTTAGCTAGCTCTATTTTTTTAAACCATCTGGGAGTGATGGCAAATTTAGTGGGGAGTGATTTAAAATAAGGATTTTTTTTTTTGTGTGTGTGTGTGTGTGTAGGTGAACAAGGACGGACATCGCCGGATCTACAAGAAGAACTCATGCTATCTGGTCATCCAATACACAGGTAAGAACTAGAGTTAAAGCATGTGTGGGGTGGAGGATATCAAATTGGTGATAACACAGTCATAAGGTTATCATGCTAACAATACAGCAGTAAAATGATGTCATAAAATTTCCCAAAAGGTTAAAAAAGGTTGCGGTCTAAGGAGTTCACTGATATGACAGGAGTGAGTTAAACACTAATGTTTGTGTTTTTCTGCTTTGTAATAGAAGACGAGCCTTTCGATACACTCCTGGAATCTTAGAGAAGAACAACGGTCTGGACAGCGAACGAGAAGAAAACGTAGATGGCAGCCCTGTAAGCCCTGTGCCCCCCTACTTAGCAAAGACCAGCAGTTCAGAGTGGAACAGCTCTGATGACCTCGCCGGACCTTTCTCTGAACAAGAAGAGACTGGCACCGCTGCCCTGAAAGACCCTTTCTTGCACAACTACCCTCCACCTTTACCTCCAAAGACCTTTGGCAACATTCACACTGACCCATCTGGCATCCACACACACCCACCGGAGGTGCCAGCGCGGCTGAGCCCCCGCCATGAACCCAAAAACGGCCTGTCCCCGCTCTCGCACACCACCCTGCGTCGCTGGATTGAGACACCTGCCGAGCAGAGGCTTTCATCGGATGCCAGCTCCAAGTCGGGGTCGTCAGACCAGGACCGAAATGATCTATCCGCTAGCGAGAGCGATGACAGGTTACCGAGTCCGAATCCAGGGCATGATGATGGTACGGACTCCCCTGGTCTCACAGAAAGGGTTCTCCCTACCACGTATTTCTCTGTGGACAACTGTATGACAGACACTTACAGAGCGAAATACCACAAAAGACCTGCTTTGTATATGAGAGGAGAGGACCATACGTCATCGGGGGAGAGTGATGTAGAAGTGAAGGGGCTTCCTGTGCCTGATGTTCAGCCGCCAGAGCCTTCAAAAACAAAAGCAGAATCAGGTACTCTACCTTATTTTGAATATTTATCGACTTCTCTTGCATTAGCACCTGTACTGTTAATATTTGTGATGCTAAACAAACAATTTCTGTATTTTCTTTTCATTTGTTTGTTTGCAGGCTACTCTACGACGAAGACTACTGCAAAGTGGAACCCAGTTACTCCCAAAGGGCTCGATGAGCACGGCTTCCTCTGATTTTAGAGAAAGCATCAACATGATCCAGCGACTGGATGCCTAAAAAGAATTGTTCTGCACTAAGACTGTGACACGTCTGACTAGGATGTGACTGTGCTGCGATGTAAGAGAAAAGTTGGATCTGAAACTGGATGCCAAAGAAATAGTGAACATGAATGGCAGTTGTCCTCAATAGCAGTCTTGCTGTTTTGGTATGAACTACTTAAAAGCTTTGAATGAAAAGTGAATTTGCACAGTAGAGAGCACCAAAAAAAAAAAAAGGTACAGAGACAGAAAAACTCCTGAAATGTTTAGGTGGTGATCGTGTTTGCTCAGAAGTAGAGGGTTGAGTTTGTCAAGAATGTGTCACAAAAAGCCACTTTATCACACAAGAGATTAGATAACAAAGAAATAACCACTTTACTGCAGTTCTCCTTTCTTTCACTCCTTTGAATGCTTTCGTTCGTCCACTCCCATGTCAGTGTTATAAGGTGTCTCCCCTGTTTTTTTCTGTTTTAACACAATAGTGCTTCTTTTCAGCGGTTTTGAAAAGTTCCTTAATCCAGACGTGGGTTTTCTGTAGAATTTTTGACCTTCTGGCACATCTTAAAAAGTAGATCCCAAGGATCTGTGTGAATGTAAAACTTTAGGATACCCTAAACCTCGGGTCTCTGTCTAATGAGACCCCATCAAAAAGCAGTAATGCATCAAAATTCAAAACCTCAGCCTCTTGTTGGTACACATAATTTAAATACATGCTTAGTTGTCTAATTCTGCTGATGTGAAACTTCATTTTAACTGCATCCTAATATGTCTCACCACCAGTTTAGGTAAAGGGTAAATATGCTAAAAGGTTTGTGATTGGTGACACATTAACTCAAGGCACCTCCATCTCTCTGCACAGCTTCCTGTGTTTTAACGTATTTGCACTGTATTCCTGGTTGATTAATAGTTCTCCACACTCCTCACAGTTATAAACTTAAGTTGTTTGTCTTTATCTAAATCAAATACTCACTTTCTGTCCTGTTTTCTCTTAAAAAGAAAGCTGCAATTGTACATTTGTCTTCTGGAGTCATACGATGCTTGCTCTATTTGAAGGGGTTAAAAAAGATATTGTATATTTGAGTGGTGGACTATTTTTGGTTCATAAAGTTTTCTATATGCAGCAGACTCTAAATGCACAGTGCCTTTTGTATTTTTCTATGTCCTGATAAGATTAAATTGGAGCCATGATTTGTACAATTCTTTGATTTAAAGAAATTTTATAACATTTAATTTTATTTTTATTGATTAACAATTGTTAAATAAACAATTTTATTTAACCATATCTGTGTCATGCCATCTTTGATTCAAGCTTAAACCATTTTTACCAATTTTAATCTCGGTTTATCTTTTTATCTAAATGAAGTAACCTGGTCCAAGATAAACACAGTTTGTCCAACAACTTAGATGATAAATAGACGAACATAAACACACATCTCTGAAGTTAGCAAATGCTGGGAAACATAGTGTTGTGCTGCCATCTGCTGTCATGTGTTGATACAGCATCTTTTAAGCTGTAAACTAAAGCTACACAAATGAAAATACCCTGGCTGTTGTGCTTTAGTTTACACACCTTCTGATGGCTACTTTGAAATTTTTTCTCAAATATTTCACACTTCTGGTTTGTTTTGCGCCGTCATACTCAGCTTAAGTGACTCTTGTGCCTTAAAGTACTTGGAAAAACAATCTTGTCAAATGTTCAAGAATTTTTTTAAAGGACGTCTCGCTCCTTTGACTAGTACCCAGGTTGAAAAATGGCATCAAAGTAATGTATCAAAACAGGAATAATGTTCATTTACAAAGGTTAACAACCAACTTAAAGTGTTACACTGAAAAAAGACCACAAATACAATACAGAGTAAGTTAAATAACAAAGGAAACAGCAAAGGCACTGCAGGCTCTACTGCCACTGGAGGCCTGCTTAGTTCAGCCACTGAACCTCGCCAAAGTCACACACTCTTTTGTTTTTTACTTATTTTTGAGGGGGGAATTTTTGCCTTTTATTGATAGGACAGGGTGAAATGTGGGGAGATAGAGAGAGGTTAGGGAAGATGTGCAGCATATGGTCAGGGCCGGACTCGAACCTGCGACCACTGCAGGGACTGTGGTCCCCATACATGGGGCGCACTGAGTTGCTCAGCCATCTGCGCACCCCTCACACACTCTTTTAAACAGGTCTGCACAGGATCGCTGACAGAGGAGGGATCGAGAGGGAGACCGCAGCACTCTCCTCCTTTATATAACCTCCCACTCATTAACCTCCCACCCTTACCTCCTTCCTTCTCCTCAGCTTTCCTTACCTCCTTCCTTCTTCCCCTTTTCTTCTCATCCCTCCCTCTATTGTCTATTTTCTCGCTCCCCTCTTACTTCCATCCTTCTCTCTTCCTTCTTTTTTCTTTTCTTCCTCTCATCTCCCTTTTCTTTTAGCATCTACCTTTCTTCTTCCCTTCTCCTTTCAATTTCCCTTTCCTTCCTTTTATCTTTTCCCCTCTTGCACTTCTATCCTCTCCTCCTTCTTCTGTTCTTTCTTTCTTTTCCACCTTTCTTCCTCCCTCATTTATGCCCCTCCTTCCTCACTTCCTTTACCTCTTCTCTTCTTTGCCCATAATAACTGCCTTATCTGAAAGAGGGTTCAATCTTTCAGCTACATTTGTGAATATTTTCCTTAAAGTACTTTCAGATTTACAAACATTGACATAGGGGTCATGGTTACTGAGGTTTTGTATTTCAAAACTCATTAACTCCACATTTTTGTGTGATGTGTGTGTTTTATTATAATGAAAAGGATTTCAGAGTCATGCTAATGATTCTTAAAATGTGTCCTGATCCATTTGCTATATCCAGATTTAATCATTAAATAAATGATCATACCCTTGTAATCCACCAGAGGGGAGTAGAGGACTTTGATGGCAAATTAAAAGCTGCAGCTTGATCTTGACATTCACAAACACTTCACACTCAACTTATATTCCCTCATTTTTTTAATGAACTGGCAATGTTAGATTCATGCAGATGGTGGAGGGTGTGTCCATTATCTAAGACTGTTCAGCACGACCCATCAATCTGAGGTCTGAAGTTTATATTTTTAGCATCCTTTCTTATGCAGATTTTAATTTTAGACAGTTGCCCCTTCAAATGTCTTCATCATTCAACAGAGGCACTGAATATGAGTCATTACAGCTATTTCAGGATTTTATTGGCTCTTGAAAATATTGTTAGTATCAAAAAGTTCTTTAAGTTGACATGATTGAGTTGGTTTCAGACTGATCAGTCAACAAAGGATTCACGCTCCACAGATCTTTGTCAAATTAAAAATCCACCCAAACTTAGAGGAAAAAAAGTTGTGACTGAAAATGTTTTTAAATGTCATCACAGATGGATAATCATCGATTTAAGAAAAAGGAAAACATGCACGGTATGATAGTTACAGATATCCCTAAGAATATTCTGCCAATCACTATCCTGCTTCTCATTGCATGCATGTCTATCACATTTTCGGTGTGCCTTAAACTTAGCTGTCTTCTAGTCCAGTGTGTGTGAGAGTGTGTGTGCGTGTGTGTGTGTGTCTGCTCCACCATCCGTCAGAGAGTGGGACTCGGCCTGTCAGCGTGCGCTCCTCCTCTGCAGCTGCCGCACTTCATTAGGGGCCATCAGCTGAGCTCAGTGCTCCACTGTCAGAGTCAGACTTCTGTTTTCTCATTTCTCCTCCCTTTGCACTTTTCTTTCTGCCTTTCTCTCTCTCTCGCAAACCGTCCCTCAAGCTCACTCACATCCTTCATCCTCATATGATTTCTCACCCTGTCAACTTACCTCAGCCTGTTCCCTCTTGCTAAAAATTCCCCTGCCCTCACTTGCTCCGTATAGCCTAACTCATTTTTGTCCACTTTCCATTTTCAGTTTTTTCTTCCTATCAGCATGACTGTCGTTTGGTAGCTAGCCTATCTTACTGTTCTGCATTTGCAAAACCTACTACCAAATAAAAAAAAAATAGATTACAGGTTGTACTAAAAAGGAGTGTTCAGGTCAGAGACTGTATATAGAGTGGATGCTGCCTGCCTCTTTGCTGGGTGAAACCACTGTGAGAACAGCACCCTCTGGTGACAGGCTGCAGTACAGGTCATAAATCCCGCCGCCGCCAGCAATGCTTATGCGGCTGTGGACAAACTTTAGAAATTTATTACTCAGAACATACATTTTTTCCCCCCTGCTTGTGATGTTGACATGTAGGTATTGTAAGACTGGTTTGTGCTCAAGTCCTCTTTTTTCTGTGCAGATCAATTTTTAAAAGTTATTAGGGGGTTCTAGTTTATATGATTGACACTTGATACAGCCTATGGGCATACAAGGATACATTGTATGAGCCGAGCATCATCACAGCGACTCTCCCGCCGAATGGGCACAACACTACTGCACAAGTGGTGGAGCGCATACAATGCTACTGTGCAAAGTTGGTTCAGGAAATGGAGAAAAGGTGCAGAATTACAGAGAGCTTTTTGGCTTCAAATCTGTATACTGGCCGAAGGCGGAACCAAGTTGTCTATAGTATAAACAGTCTACGGTTCAGGTACAGGAAATTGTCACTAAAACAACACAGGTAAAATGATTTTATCAGGCACGGTCATCGCCTTTCTACAGTAAGTCTTACAGCAACATACACTGATGCAATGTCAACTTTGCCCACAAGTGGCAGTAATGAGCTCTTCCTTGAACAATTCAGATGCAAACAAAAACTGCATAAACTTATCTTAAACATAACATCATTCCATTTATGAGTAAATGATTGATTTTCCTGTCTTGAAATGGGGAATTTGTGGTATCCTATTTTCGAAGCATTCATAAAAAAATTGCCTGGCATTTCCGGAATTGCCAGAAACGTGGGGGTTTACGTGGAGTCCCTGAATGCAGCCCCAGATGAACACCTGCACTGCGTCACCGCCCAATCAGCGACTGCGTCATCGCCTAATTAGCGACACCTGGGAGCTGCTCGGTAAGGAGAGAGTCCAGACAACACCGGTGCAAGGAACCAACAACTTTTGCTTGTTGTTGTTTATCCTACCACAAAAATAGGCTAAAAAGCCAACCCTATCGTGCAATGATATGGCGACACTCAAAAACAGTTTGTCTGGACTTATTTTGGAGAAAAACGGAAGATACTTCGAGATTTCAGACGACTTTGGCCTATGAGAGACCACCAGCAACCTTCTGTTAACATGGCTAGTTCCTTTGTCGGTGAGTCCAATTTGAGTTTCATTTGTACACCCGTCTTTCCCTGAAAAATGCATAAATAGTCCCAACACCAAGGCCTTACACCATTAATTAATTTATGTTTGTGTTTTTAGAGAAATAAGTGATACAGTTGATTCTGTGATTCAACTCCCAGTAGGCCGCAGGCTGCGCGCCATTTAGTTTGAGTAGTTCCATTTTTTTGTATTTTGCATTCATTTTGTCAAAACTTATTTTTAAGACACTTAGTCCAACTCAGCCATGTTTACAAAATCCGTTTCCACCTTTGCTTTATCTGTAGGTGTACTTTACCTTTCAAGAAGTGCACTATTTTCCACCAGACACTGTTGTAGAGTTAAGTATGCTCTTTATTGTTGATCTGAGTGCTGGTACTGTCTGTAATTGCAAGAAAATGTGTAAGTAGCTCTGCTGCACTATTGCTGGCTCTTATGGTGAAGTTTGAGACATGATATTCAGCAGAAAGAAAAGGATCTTTTGTCATAAGAGATACCATGTGCGGTGTGGTCAGAATAAGCACTAAGCTATTATCACTGACACTTTGTTGTTATGACAGCGGAGGATAAGCATGGCTTTTAGTACCAAACTGAGTGAAAGCATTTTCACCTGCAGTGCTGTATCTTTTTACCTCACTCAGAAAGACTTGAGCAAATGGCACGATTCCGTGGCACTGCCTCAAAAGCCTGACCCCAGCTGTAGTGGTGTCAAAACATGACTGATTTAGACATTGGGCTGCATAATGGGCATGAGGAGAGAATGGCAGGGAGATTGAAAAGTGGCTCCTGGCATGCCACATGTCAGCTTAGCAGCATGTGGCACGGCTGACTGTATGCCACTTTACCATTTTAGCTCTTCGTGGTATGCCGCTGTATATTTTTTTTATAGGTATAAAAGTGAGTTACACTTTGAGTTACAGTGTTCACCCTTTCTGGTGTGCTTCTTCAAAGACAACTAATGTAATCTCCCAGATTTTTAAACCTTAATGATAGACCTGTTCGCTCTCTCACTAACCTTGTCTGCTTTTTTATAAGGTTTCAGACTTGATCTGCACACCTGGACTGACAAGATCTCTCCTTGTTCAGCAAAAAAAAACAACTCATGTTCAAGCCGAGATCAGTGAGAATCTTGGAACAGGTGTACTTTTCTTGGAGCAGTATCTGATGACCGTCAGATGAACTATATCCATAAGAGGTTAAACCGGTGGTTATGTTGGTGGTGGTAATACTCGTAGGGAGGGTGTGCATCTGAAAGCCTTTTACTTTCAGTCTGAATAAACATACTTTGTGGCAGCCATATTGTTTTACGCAGGAAAACTTGAATCTTTGTTACATTGCTGTAGGGGGCAACAACATTTGTAGTGAAGTATTTCCATCTTTAAGATGCAGGTTTATTGTTTTTATTGCTGACACATCCCTGGCTGTGAGGCGAATGTTTTTACTGGGTCTCATTTGAGAAGGCAGATTGACAAAGTGGCGCCAGTTGTGATGGATTAATTTTTATGTCGGCTCTTTTGGTTTGGAGAGGATTTGTTTAGTGTCGCTTTTTACGACAGTGAAGTTTATATTGACCCTTAAAGTTCCATATTCCTAGTTTAACACGTTTTTGAATTTACGTTACATGGAAATTCAGCCGACTTTATGCTCCTCTTCATGCATTCCTTTCCTTCCCCAACACAATTTTTCTGATTCCTCTGTCTGGTCTGTATCTCTTCTTGAGACCCCCCTGTACCCAGATGTGTGCATTTGTGTTGCCACACACACACACACACACACACACACACACACAACACACACACACACACACACACACACACACACACACACACACACACACACACACACACACACACACACACACACACACACATAGAGGCATGCAGACACAGCCTGGGGGTCTCTGTTCTTGTCATCCTGACAAGCAGTAGGAACAGGATTATGGGTAGAGACCCTCTTTCTCGGGGCAGAAGAAAGTGTGAAATCTGATTGCTTTGGAAGATTTGAAAAACCGGATCCTGTGAGGTCGGTGGAATCCTGAATATATGAGCAGCTGGAGATGTATAGCAGACGAGTGTAGTTCTGTTCCAGAGATTTTCTGCATTTTTAGGCTTGAGAGAGTGGTTTAATAGAGGACAGAGACATGAAGCAGCAGGGTGCATCGATGCCAATCGCCGTTTTTCCTCTTGCATTTCTTTTGAAAGTTTAGTTTTGTTGCTTGTGTAATGTAAGCTTGCCAAATGGGTGTTTGGGGTCTCAAGATATGTGGATAAAAGTACTTTGAAGTTTACAGAAGGAGAACACAGAGCTTAAGTGGTTTAAAAATTCAACTTTTTGTCTTGGTGTTTTTATGGTTTATCTCATCTTAACATATAATCCTGAGTTATATGCAATGCAGGCTCGTCGTTTTTTGTTTTTTTACTCTATCACATATTGTCCTGATGCTTTTCAAATTCAGCATGTGCCATAAAACTTTCTTACTTTTACAGAAACAATACTTTTGACACATGTAGCATTATCATAATTGATCACTAGGGGGCATTAAAGTATTGTGTGTTCCTTCCACTCCTGCCCAAGGCTGTTGGGCAAAGCCCTTGGCAGTTTCCACGACTTCCATTTATGAGCTTTTTCCACTTGCCTGCATGAAACAAAATCACTGTGATGATGGCACAGTGCAAAGGAAGAGTTGGACCAGAGTGAGAGGGAAGAGTCGTCTTGTGGGAAATAAAGGAGCAGACATAGCAGACCATTTTTTTGTGTTTTTTTCTCACAGTATAGGACGTGTGCTGCACCAGCAGTACACATGTTTATATTTGTCACATAATGCCTTTCTCATGGCTTATTAAAAGGCTGCACTGACAGAGGTGGAGGCGTCAGAGCCACATGATTCGCAGTATCCTATGGAAAATTTTGTCGTTGACTCCACTCGCTGACTGTCTCCTCTTCCGTCTCTTTATACTTCTGTATAATCTTCACAGATGATGCTTTTTGCATTTTGCCCGACGCTGCATGTTTTTCACAACCAGCTGGGTTTTTTTCAAACTATCTTCAGGCATGTTGTTTGCTTTTCCACCCCTGCAAAGAACCACTCCAGGATTTCTCACCTGAAACAAATCAATATCATTTAGGAAAGCTAAGACTATACGATGAAAGCTATCACCAGGATTAGAATAATGGAGAAATATACAGAGAAAGAGACTGCATATGAAATGTGTCTTTCATTAGTAAGTGCTAGCTGTTAACTTTCTCTGCTTCTGACTTTTGAGTGTTTCTAATTGCAGTTTTAGAAATTCTAATCCTTCCTTCAGCTGAGAAAACAGTTTCCTTGTTCCCTCCATAATCTTCCTCCTTCACACAGAGGCTGTGCTGATTGCATGTTAGTGCTTCGACCCCTGCACATCTTTTGAAAACTGATGTAGAAAACTGTTCATATCCTTTCCTTCGCCTTGATCTCTGCTGTCAATATTAAACTGCAGATACACGTGCATAAATGACACATGCTGTCATTCCTTTGAAGGACAGTGTTTTATGTGCGGCTGCTCGTGTACTTGGGGTTTGAGGTGCAATGTATTCAGCTTTGATTACTTTTTCTGACTACATGCCATGTCTGCTACTTGAAGTTGCGTTGGTTGATATGAACTGGTTTAGTTTGTGCCTATAAATATCTGCTGTATTGGCTGAAATCAATGCGTTACTTAAACACTATTGACTCATCCTGCCTTAACAATATAGCAAGTAGATGTCTTTATAGAAAATGAGTAGATATGTCAATTGTCTTAGTTTTTATGCTCTACTCACTTTATTTTTAAATGATTGTGCTGTTATAAAACTACAAGACGTTTGATTATGTAGTCCTATTCATGTGCTTTAAATGCTTTGTTCATATTTCTTTTCATTCAAAGTCATTTACAGATCCACTAACCTATTTCTCGTGAAGTCTGTAATTTATATTTTACCGGAAAATTGGTAGTAATTTGACATTGAAACACAGAAATGAGAATATTAATTGATATTGAAGTAGCTGTCAGATTCTACCTCAAAACACTCCTTTGCTCACCCTTCCCAAAAGTGAAGCATCGGTGACCTTCAAAGGCACGTGACATGAGATCAAGTGATGCAGGATAATTATAATCTCACTTCAGTCAAGTTTTTATTATCAAAGAGGTTTGTTGATACAAACTGGTTCATGCAGATGTTACTGGTTTGTATTTTGCTGCCATGGTAGAAACATGAGAGCACAAGATGGCGGCCACATGATGTTTCCCTATGACATGTTTATCATGGATTATTGGTGAGCAACCAATTCTGTAGAGTTAAGAAAGAACAAGATAAAATACGTATGTATTAACATATATAAGTTATTTTTCACCCTAGCCTCATTTATATACTTCCCATAACTTTGTATTGTTTTTAATCATTTCCCTTTTTGGTTAGAAAGCAGTTTCCTCTATTTCATCTTTAACTGCACACTTGCAATGGTGTTTACTGGAAACCCCCTGTAAAATGTTAAAAACAGATCATATTCAAAGTTTTAAGTGGTAACCTTTTTTGGTTGATGATTAGCAGGAGTAAACAAGGGGGTCATACACAGTATATGGTATAATTAGTCTCTCATCGGTGGGTGGCAGCCACACCCTCACTGCTTTCTTTATAATGGAGTAAACACAGGTTTGAGTACATGCTTTTTGGATGGAGGACTCGGTGGCTTGTGCCTGCGAGCTGAAATGGGGCGTAAAGCATTGTATCCCTGTACATCCAGAAGCGTTGCTTTCGCTGTCTCCCTGGAAACCATTACCGCGCTGCCACTTGCAGGCGGTCTGTCACGGATTCAGGTGGAAACACAAGCATCTTGGTGTGCCAGGGAAAATGGAAGGCAGAGTAGAAGTGGGGGGGTGTTTGCAAATGGCTCTGAAGTCTGCAGGCTTAAAAGTGTTGATAACTGCGGATTAGCTCTGCCTTTTCCCTCAAGCAGCTTTAACTGTGTGGTCTCTTTCTC